CACAGCTCACAGCAACCTCCAACTCCTGGGCGTAGGCGATTCTCTTTTTTTTTTTTTTGCAATTTGGCCGGGGCTGGGTTCAAATCCGTCACCCTCAGTATATGGGGCCAGTGTCCTACTCACTGAGCCACAGGTGCTGCCCCTTAGGCGATTCTCTTGCTTCAACCTCCTGAGTCGCTGGGACTATAGGCACCCACCACAATGCCTGGCTATTTTTTGTTGCAGTTGTAGTTTGGCTAGGGCTGGGTTTGAACTCACCACCCTCAGCCCCTTGGTATATGGGGCCAGCGCCCTACTCACTGAGCCACAGGCACTGCCCCAAACCCATCTACTATTAAAGGCTTAGTGTTAGTACTGATGGCAGCTGGAAAATGAGCAGAGAATAGTGTTTATACATACAATAATCAAATTAAAACCTTAAATTGAAAGGACAACTCCATTCTCAACTAAAACAACAGGCTGGATAAGGATTTTATAAGAGATAATATATGGTTTTGTGTACACAGCACACAATGTTTAACAAATTGCATTACATCTAAGTCTACCAACAAATTTAGGGAAAATCTCCAGACTACTTCACCAAATGACTGACTAAAAAAAAAGAGATCGAGAGAGAAAGAAAAGAGAGGTGCAAATTAATAGCCCACTCGGCATTCAGATAGCCATGGAAGACATTTATTTTCATAAAATCTCGGTGGAGACACACCCCAGGGATGATCTGGCATTAGTAAAGAACCTATTTTTTTCTATAGCTAAACAAGCAGGAAAGCTGGTTGTTAACAGAGGAGACAGTGGCTGCTTCTACCCAGGGTTTCTGATACAAGCAGCAGTTCCATAGTCACCAAAGGTATGGTTCACAGTACACTTTAGTGATGTGGGTCCATGATAATGTATGTTTCAGAACATATCCATACATATTAAAGTACATATTTAATACAAATCAAATTCATGAAACTATAAGCCACTTAAACATATGTAAGAGGACTGTCCCTGTACAAAAGGTTCACAATCTGAACTAGCGTATATAAATGGCAAATAGTGTTAAACTAATGTTGTAAACAAACAAATAATAAAAAAAGTACTTTATATATAATTATTATAGACTTCTTTTTAGGCAAAATTTTCAGAAAACCCAGGAATAGATTTTATATCACAAAATGGTCCATACCGCCCAAAAATGTCTTTTGACTGGACGGTAAAGTAATATTTGTTGGAAGCTAAAAATTGAGATAAAGTACATGCCATTGGGAGTGGTAATGCTTTAATTTCTCCAATTTTCTTCCAAATTAACTTATTATTAGAGTTCTCATGACACAGGAAGAGGTGGTAGCTTTCCACAGGAGCACATTTGGGATTAATTTTGCTGATGTTCCAAGTTAGGGCAATGCCCTTGGGTCTCAAAACTCGTTTGACTTTGAGCTCAGGCTTCTGGGGAGGAAGTGTGTCTCGGATTTTGTCTGACAGTTCAGGTGGCAGTGGAGGTGGTTCAGGAAGAGGTGGTAGGTGCTCAAAGGACTCAAGAACCTAAAAACAAATTTATAAAAAAGTTTAGCAAGCTGGCCTGGTGGATACTGATTATTTTGTATCAGTCAACAGAAGTGGTAACATCACAAATCCAGAGTGGGTTAGGTCCCAGATACTGTGGATGAATATTCCATTTAATTTCTAAATTGTGTTCTCAAATATTATACTAATTTAGTGACAGTGTCAGTGTATCAACAATGACTATTGCTTTTAATACAAAAATGCTTTTCTAATTTGAATGAAAATATGTATTTGTTTTCATTTCTGTAGCTTCTGTAAAATACAAATGAATTATTTTAATTGTATAAATAAGTAGATTCAACATAGTACATTTTAAAAAGCACATTAAAAGGATTTTTAAGCTGAAATGTGAACCAATTATTTCTTCAGAGTAAAACATGTACTTTCCCATTCAATTTGGAAGGAGTATCTCTTACAGAGCACTTCATAGCAGTACCTGGGCTGCATTTTGTGCCACTGGGATTGTTTCTTTAGAGTTTAAAACAGCTTTTGAAGGTGACTCCAGGGTGGATATTGGCTGTTCTGTGAATAATACAAAGTTTAAAAGGCAAAATTTATCTGTAATAATTCCACATCCTTTAAGCAAATAATTTACATCTTAGGTAATAATATAAAATTACAAAATTGTGAAATATGAAGATATACTTTTGATAAAACTTCAAATGTCAATATAGAAAATTTTCCTTTGAGGTAACAAAAATTCCCCTCTTAAGGTAAACACTTTGGTCATTATGCATATGGGAACTAGGTAGATTTGCACATAGGAGAGGGATCCCAGCTCAATGACCTTAGAGGCAAATTCTCTTCTGGTAAGCCAAGAAGGATGTCCACAAACAGAGCCACTTATAATCATGTATAAATATATGAGACACACAAGTCCTGGGATTCAAACTAAAAATCATGCAGGTTACAGTTTAAAAAATCTACTGGCTTTGCACCTGTAGCTCAGCGGCTAGGGCACCAGCCACATACACCTGAGCTGGCAGGTTCAAATCCAGCCTGGGCCTGCCAAACAATGACAACTATAACCAAAAAATAGCCAGGTGTTGTGCCAGGTGCCTGTAGTCCCAGCGACTTGGGAGGCCGAGGCAAGAGAATCACGTAAGCCCAAGAATTTGAGGTTGCTGTGAACTGTGACATCACAGCACTTTACCCAGGGCAACATAGTGAGACTGTCTCAAACAAAGAAAAGAAAAAGAAAAGAAATCTCTACTGATGGTGTCCACGTTAGTCTAGAGAGAATCAGATATAAATTGTGGACTGAAGCAAAGAAGGGGGAGGAAGGAGAAAGAGAAAGGAAAATGCAAGAGAGAAACAGATGGTGAGTTAGAAAGGGATGGACAGAAAAAAAGTGTTTGTGAGGGAGGAAAAAGGCTGTAAGTTTAAAAACAACTGGGGGAGGGTAAATATGGTAAGAGAAGGAGTCTCAGGTCAGAAAGTATTAAGAGTTGGGTAGCTAACAGGTCCAGATATTTGAACATATCTAATAAGCAATAAAAACCATTTTAGGTTCACTATGTGTTCGGTGACATAACTATTTAATGTACTTTATGAATCTCCCAAATGAAATTTCTTTAATTTTCTTTTTCTTTTTCTTTTTTTTTTTTTGAGACAGAACCTCAAGCTGTCTCAAAGCATCGCAGCTCACAGCAAACAACCTCTAACTCCTGGGCTCAAGCAATTCTCTTGCCTCAGCCTCCCAACTAGCTGGGACTACAGGCATCTGCCACAACGCCTGGACATTTTTTGGTTGTCATTGTCATTGTTGTTTGGCAGGCCCTGGCTGGATTCGAACCCACTAGCTCTGGTGTATGTGGCTGGCACCTTAGCCATTTGCTACAAGCACTGAGACAATTTTATTTTTCTTATGACTGACAAGGATGAGCAAGATTCTGCATTGTGTTTCAAAGTTAAATTATTAGTCTCCCCATCTACTGGCATTAAAAAAGCTTTTCTGGTTTGTGCCCACTCAGGGTACCCTCCAAAACAGAACAATACAAAAAAACTTTCCAAAAGTAGTAATGATTTTAATTCTATGAGAATTTGTATTGCCTTTTTATACTGGTTTAATTTAATTAATTTTTTTGGGGGGGCAGATTTTGGCCGGGGCTGGATTTGAACTCGCCACCTCTGGCATATGGGGCTGGCGCCCTACTCCTTTGAGCCACAGGCACCGCCCTGGTTTAATTTTAGAACTAGATTCGTAAAATCATGATCTGCAGGTCAAGAACTGATGCCAGATCTTTCTTTCCTCCCTTCCACCCTCCTCTTCCATTTCATATCCTCCATTAAAAAAAAAATCTGTTAATAACCTCCTTTAAATTTTCCAGTCAACAGTTTAATACCAAAAAATCCTATCAAATATAATTTTCCATAAATAACAGTCCTTCTTTCAAAGCAGTAGCTCAAATGGCCCTTTGGAAATTAAAAAAGGCTAAGACAGATACTCAACTTTATGATAAGTGACAAAACAGGTTGGGCACTGTGGCTCAAGCCTATAATCCTAGCACTCTGGGAGGCTGAAGTGGGGAACTGCTTGAACTTATGAGTTCAAAATCAGCATGAATAACAGCAAGACCCCTGGGTGTCATGCTTGGTGCCTGTACTTTCAGCTACTGAGTTCAGGAGATTGAAGTTGCGATGAGCTATGACGATGTATGTCACTGCACTCTCCTGGGGCAACAGAGGAAGACTCTGCTTCAAAAAGAGATAAGACAGGACATTTACCCCCCTCATATAAATAATTCTCCAGCTTTTATCTTCATCTACATAAAAATGTGTAATGGGTGTCTTGGTTGTATTGTATTCTCAAAGGAGCAGTAATGAGTACCTCATTATTTTTTAAGGAAGTTCATTTAACAGCCAGGTGAAAATTGCAGTCTTTGGTTTCAACCTAACCTAATTCTCTGGTGTTTGACTTTCCAGATCCTTTGCTGTATGTATACACACTTGTAGACACATGTATCTGTCCATGCTAACACATTGTACAAATGGTTCTTTAAAAATATTTAAAAACTGATGCAAAGGGGAAAGATCCATGAATGGCTTTAGATTAATATTTATAGATAGGAAGGAAGGAAGATAGATAGATAGATACATACATACATAGACAGACCCATCTTCTTGCTCTGTCACCCACTCTGGAGTGCAGTGCATGGACCACAGTTCACTGTAACCTTGAATTCCTGGGTTCAGACAATCCTCTTACGTAGGCCCCTCAAAGTGCTCGGATTATAAACTAAGCTACCATGTCCAGCCAAAATGTGGTTTTTACTTTGTTTTGATTTTATGAGAATGCTCAACAAAGAAAACGTGGCTTTTTAAGTATATATAAATATATATATACATACATACACACACACACATATATATATATATATTTTTTTTTTTTTTTGAGACAGTCTCATTATGTCACCCTCAGTTGAGTACTGTGGCATGATAGCTCATAGCAGACTCCAACTCTTGGGCTTAAGTGATTCTCTTGCCTCACCCTCCCAAGTAGCTGGCTGGCTACAATGCCTGGCTATTTTGTTGTAGCTGTCGTCGTTTAGCTGGCCAGGTTCGAACAGGCCAGCCCAGGTATAAGTGGCTGACGCCCTAGTTGCTGAGCTACATGCGCTGGGCCTATTAAATTAAATTTTGAGAAATGTGTACGTTTGTAAAAACTTTGTCAAACTATCACCAAAATAAAGACACAGAATATTCTCATCAATCCAAAAGTTCCTTAGTATCCCTTTCTCAGACAATCCCTCTCTTCTAGCCCTATGAAACCACTGGTGTATTATCACTAAAAATTATACTTGCCTTTTCTAGAATTTCACATATACTGAATCATATAGCATGTACAATTCTTTTGTCCATCAGAATGTTTCTGAAATTTATCCATGTAATTGCATATATCAATGTTTTGTTTTTGGCTGGGCATGGCACTAAAAACCTATAAATTCTAGCACTCTGGGAGGCCAAGGCAGGTAGATTGCTTGAGCTCAGGAGTTTGAGATCAGCTTCAGCAAGAATAAGACACACTCCCTCATCCCCCATTCCTAGCACTTACTTGGGAGGCTGAGGCAGGTGGATTGCCTAAGCTCATAGGTTCGAATCCAGCCTGAGTCAGAGCGAGACCCTATCTCTAAAAATACAGCCACGCATGATAGCAAGTGCCTGTAGTTCCTGAAGGAAAAAAAAAAAACAAAAAACAAGATCCCCGCCTCTACTAAAAACTGAGGCAATATGATCACTTAAACTCGAGAGTCTGAGATTGCTGTGAGCTATGTCGTCATGGCACTGTACCCAGGGTGCTAGAGTGAGACTCTGTCTCAAAAAATTTCATTTTTTATTTAGTATCTTATTTTATAGATATACCACAATCTATCCAATTACCTACTGACAGGCATATGGACTATTTCTAGTTCTGGATTATCATGAATAAAGCTGCTATGAATATTTAATGTAAAAGTCATTGTGGTGAATATAAGTTTTCATTACCTTTTCGTAAATATCAAAGAGTGGAATATAGTCACATAGTAAAAGAAAAGTTAATCTTTTAAGAAATCTCCAATTTTTACCTTTTTATATTCTTACCTGAAAATCATGAGAATCCAAGTTTGCTCCATATCCTCACCCACAGTTCATATTTTCAGTTGTTTTCATTTTGGTCATTTCTTTGGGTATGTAATAGTATCTTATTATTGTCTTAATTTTCCTAATGATGTTGAGAATATGTTCCTGTGTTTATTTGTCAACCCCTTAGATACAATGAAATGTCACTTATTTGTTTGGGGATTAATTTGTTCTTTCATTAACATGTGATAAAAACTAAGACTGTTCAATTTAAACCTTCTGTTTTTTCTAATATAAATATTTATTTTATAAATAAAAATAGAAGATAATTTCAAAAAACAGATCATGCCAAAATCTTATAGACAACAGAAAAGGAAGAAATACTCCAAAATCATCTGCTTAATCTGGATACACCTGATATTAAAATTGGAAAAAATATATTATTATAACGGGGAAATTACAAACATAGTTCACTTTTAAATGAGGATGCAGTATCCTGTATCCTAAACAACATATTAACAAGTTGAAGTAAAAATTAATGTTTAAGTGATGTACTTTAGTCAAAATCGAATCCAATTTATGTGAGAATTAGTCAATATTTTCTTTTTTTCCCCTTTGTTCTTACCCTCACCCCCTCCCTCCTTCTCTGTCTGCTCACCCCTTCCTCCATGCCCTATAGTGTCATTAATTGTCCTCATATCAAAGTTGAATATATAGGATTCATGCTTCTCCATTCCTGAGATGCTTCACTAAGAATGACATGTTCCACCTCCATCCAGGTTAATACAAAAGCTACAAAATCTCCATTTTTTTTAAAATGGCTGAATAGTATTCCATGGTATACATATACCACAGCTTGCCAGTTCATTCCTGGATTGAGGGGCATTTAGGCTGTTTCTACATTTTAGCAATTGTAAATTGAGCTGCGATAAACAGTCTAGTGCAAGTATCTTTATAATAAA